GTAATTTAAAAGAAAATGAAGGAAATTACATAAAGGAACATCACTGAGTCCTGGGACCACAGCAGGATCTTTATGTAAACAAACGAGTTTTACCTAGTTGGGGGGTAGTAAAATATTTACATAAAGGTTTTTACAAGGTGTGTGTGGGGGGGAATAACTTCCTTGTAGTTATTAACAAAAGTTTTGCAGCATATGACAGAAATGAATAATATTTAATGTTACTTATGAGAAGTGAATTTTATTTTGAAATATAGTTACTCTTTTTTTTTTCTTTTTGTTTTGTTTTTGTTTTTGTTTTTGTTTTTTTGTTTTTTTTTTTGTTTTGAAAGCCAGGGTTTCTTTGTGTAGTCCTGGCTGTCTCTGGAACTCACTCTATAGACTGGGCTGGCCTGGAACTCAGGGCATGCATGTGCCTCTCAAGTACTGGGATTAAAGGCATGTACCACCACACCACTGCCCAGCCTCAGAACAGTTTTTATTTGATTTGATTTTATATATTTTTCTGAGACAGAATCTCAGTGACTGTGTGTGTCTGTCTGTCCTAGAACTTGCTGTCTTTCCTTCCCTTTTTCCCTTCCTTCATTTCTTCCTCCCTCCTTCCCTTCTATACTTTCTTCCTTGCATCTTACTTATTACTGGTTGGCTTTTGACTTGCCTAGTAGCCAGGGGTGGTCTTGCACTTTTGAGACTTGTTCCTATCTCAAATTACAGGTATTTTGCCATCAACCTTTTTGTTTTGTTTGTTTTAATTTATTTTGTGTACACTGTTCTGCCTGCGTGTATGCCTGCACATCAAAAGAGGGCACTTGATCTCATTACAGTTGGTCATGAGCCACCATGTGGTTGCTGGGAATTGAACTCAGGACCTCTGGAAGAGGTACCAGTGCTCTTAACCTCTGAGCCATCTCTTTAGCCTCATCAGCCAGGTTTTATGTGGTGCTGGAGATGGAACAAGCACTCTACCAGCCCTTGAAGAACACATTTTATTCAATAACTTGCTTGTTTTGCATTGGACATTAGTCATTCATGCTGTCCTTGATTTTGGGTCTTGGTTGGTGCTCTCTATTGTAATACCCCAAATTAACCTGTAAGCCCTACCAACCAGCCCAAGGATCAGGTAACTTCCTGGAATACTGGGAGTTGGAAAATAGCAAAAGCCTTATGGGAAAATTTGGTTGCCTATGGGTTTGTCTTTATAAACGCCAACTTGTGTCTGGGGCCACTCAGCTGGAAGTTCTAGGAAGTGGTCCTGACCAAAGTCAGTATTTAATAAAGCTTGCCTCAAATTTGGCTCAAAATGGTAGAACTGTTTGTTTGTTTGTTTGTTTTTTTATTTGAATCTCAGGATTAACACTATAGTCCTGAATCTAGCTTCAACAGTCATTAGCTTTTTGTTATTGATTCATTTGCTATCCGTATGAATACTTTCCTTAAATAGATTAAAAGTGTCCCTTTTTTTAGTTGATGTATAGTTAACATCATCATTAAGGTCACTTTTAAAACTATTTTATTTTGAGACAGTATATAGCTTTGGCTGACCTGGAACTCATAGAGATCCTCCTGCCTCTGCCTCCAGAGTGGTGGGATTAAAGGCATGTGCCACCAATACCCAGTTTCTAAACTATTTTAATGTGTACCCTTCAGCTCATTTAGCACATTCAGCTCTGCCATTCAGTATGGCAGAGCTGCCTCCTCTTCTGGCTCTAAATTTTTTTTTTATTGTCCTGGAAGGAAAGACCATTTTATGAAGTAGTTACTTTTCATTCCTTTCTTCCTGTACTCTTATATCCTGCAGTTGAAAGGCCTTTTCTCTGTGTAGCACATTCTGAATTTTTCATATAAAAAGAGTCATGTGGCCTTTCATTTAACATACTTCATCATTATATACATAATTTGTGTAATTTTTTTTGTCGAAACTAATTCTATTCCAACAAAATTAAAAAATTTGTAATTATATAAAAAATACAATTTTTGCTGGGCAGTCGTGGTTCCTATAATTTATCCCCATCACTTGGGAGGTAGAGGCAGCATAGGGATAGCGAGAGCTGCATTAAGACACCCTGTCTTGAAGAAAAAAACAAAACATTAAGTATATAAATAGAACTTTCCAAATATGCTGTTTTTGGAGCTTGGGTCTTGTTACATATGAGATCCTAGACTCAGTCCCCAATACCATACTCTGTTCCCCAAACTTAAGAAGTTTTTTTTGCTGTTGTTGTTGTTCTTTTTGATATTACTTAAATTAAAAACACTACATTTAGCGTCTGGAGATATGGCTCAGCGGTTAAGAGCACTGTCTGTTCTTCCAGAGATTCTGAGTTCAAGTCCTGGCAACCACATGGTGGCTTACAGTCATCTATGAGGGGATTTGATGCCCTCTTCTGGCCTGCAGGTGTACATGCAGATAGAGCACTCGTATACATAAGTAAATAAATACATACATACATTTATTTTTTTGTGTGTGGTTGAATGAATGAATGCATTCTTGTGTATGTGTATGTTTGTACACATGCACAAATGTGTCATGGGTGTGGAAATTAGAGGAGGCCCTCCAGAAGTTGCTGTTGGGAGGTTGGTTCTGCCCTCCTACTGTATAGCCCTGGTTCTGGAACTCTCTATAGGACATGCTGGCCTTGAGCATGGAGATACACTTGCCTCTGTCTCAGTATTGGGATTAAAGGTGTCTGACACACACACACACACCAGGCCCCAAAAACTACACTTTAAGGATACTGGGCACATAATTCAGCATTTGGGAGATAGAAAGTGGAGGATTCTGAGTTTGGAACTAGACTGGGTTACGTAATGAGACTGTGCCTTTAAAACAAATTTAGAAACAATTTTTAGGTCTTTAGAAAAATTGACCTAGATATCTGAGTTGAAACTGTTAGTTTAAATTAAATGTCATTACTGAGAAGTAGTTGTATTCATGAGCTGTCAGGGTAAGCAGATTCCTCACCAGCCTCCAGTGCTTTTGTGCACAGTAATTCACACATGGCTTTGTGAGGTAGAATATTTCTCGTGTTGTGCACTAACATGCTGTGGCTGGAGCTCAAGAGTAACTTCACAGTAGTAGAAGTAGAACGTTAAGTACTTGCTTTGTAGCCCTATTTGTTTTGGTGTGTGTGTCTCCAGATTTCTTTTCACCCCAACATCACTGTCACTGCTCTTTGGCCTCATTGGTTGTTACATCTGCCAAGATCATTTTTATCCGAAGAAAATCACATTTTTTTTTCTAGACCCTTTAGAAAGATCTGGAGTGTAACATAACTAAATGTAAAAACAGAAAAGTAATGAAAAATAAAAATCTTTGTTTTGAAATAAGAATACTTGTGATCCCTGCTTTAAATTCCCTAATGCTGGAATTACAGCTACTGATAGGAAATTTGAAAGTCAGGCTTTACAACTTTTTAGACGATAAAATAGAGTTTTGTGATAAAATGAAGTTGTATAAAATTAAGTTTTATGGCAATCTTAAAGCTAGATCGACTGTAAAATATCTAAATGAAAAAAATTAATTTATTTTTTATTCACTTTATATCCTTGTTGTAGCCCCATCCCTCTCCCCTCCCAGTCCCACCCCTCTTTCTTCCTTTTAGCAGAAGGGGAGCTCCCTTTTCCATCCAGCCCAGCTCATCAAGTTGTATCAAGACTGAGCATGTTTTCTTCTCCTGTAGCCTGGCAAGGCAGTCCTGCCAGGGGGAAATGATCAAAAAGCTGGGACTAAATGAAAATTTTATTTGAAAATGCTAATAGTAGTACTAGAGAGATGGTTCAATAGTTAAAGACTTAAGTAGGACTTAAATAGGACCAATTTTGGTTCCCGGCACCAGGTCAGTCGCTTGTAACTTCAATTCCAAGGCTTCTGGCACCCACACATTTGTATGCACACATGAATAAAAAAGAATAAATAAAAAATAAAACTCTTAATTCAGCTCCTATTTTTCCTCTACCACCTCCTCCATCTTTATTATTTTGAGACAAAGTCTCATGTAGCTTAAGATAGCATTTAAGTTTTTGAAAAAATGTTAATTCTCAGTTGATGCTTGCCTTTTTTCTCCTGAAGAAACACAAAATAAACACAACCCAACAGTACCCCAAGCAATTATACATCGTACTATCTTTCATGAAGCCAAATTTTTACAATAAATGTTTATTAGTACTTATCCGTGATAAGCCTTGTCAAATGTTTTGATCTTTTAGGTCCTATATTTATTTAGTGGTGCTGAGGTTTGGACCCAGGACTTCAAGCATCCTAAGTAAGCTCTGTTACTGAGCTACATCTCTAACCTTCATATTTCATTTTATAAATAGAGTATTTGAAAACACTTGGCAAACACTGCAAGGAAGGAACCTGTAACATGTTCACTGGGCCATTAAGGTGGTAGTGAGTAAAAGTCTGTCCTGCTTAGCCTAACAATCTGAATTTGATCCCTGGGTCTGACTGACACAAGGGAGAACCCATTCCTACAAGTTGTTGTCTGGCGTCTATACACTTGTCACACATCCCTTCTCCCTGTAAATGAATAATAAAAATTTTACAGCCAGGTGCTAGGTGGCACATACATGCCTTTAATCTCAGCATTTGGGAGGTAGAATCAGGTGGATCTGCAGGGATAGTTCCAGAATAGCCAGGACTATACAAATAAACCCTGTCTCAAAAAAATCATTAAATAAATCAATAAATAAAAATTGTAGTATTTACTTAAAAAATGTTTTTAGATTCGGGCTGAAGAGATGGCTTATCAGTTAAGAGCACTGACTGCTCTTTCAGATGACCCAGGTTTAGTTTTCAGCACGCACATGGCAGCTCACATTCAACTGCAACTCCAGTTCCAGGGCATCTGATGCCCTCTTCTGGCCTCTTCAGACACATACTTGCAGGCAAAACATACACACACATTTTTAAAAGTCTACAGATGTTTTCAGGTTAGAAATATGTTTTTAGTCACTGTTGTCAAGTGATATGTGCACTAAAAATACTTTGTCTTCTATTCTAGTGACCTAGAAGGAATACATCACCATGGCTACAGAAATTGGCTCTCCTCCACGATTTTTCCATATGCCAAGGTTTCAACACCAGGCACCCCGACAACTATTTTATAAGCGACCTGATTTTGCACAGCAACAAGCAATGCAGCAGCTTACCTTTGATGGGAAACGAATGAGAAAAGCTGTAAACCGAAAAACCATAGACTACAATCCCTCTGTAATTAAGTATTTGGAGGTAAGTACAGTGAATGTGTTTCTGATGACCAAAGGAGGGATTTTTGTTTTTGTATTTCAAGACAGGGTTTCTCTGTGTGTAGCCTTGCCTGTCCTGGACTCACTCTCTAGACCAGGCTGGCTTTGAACTCGCAGAGGTCTCCCTGCCCCTGTTCCCCAAGTGCTGGGATTAAAGGTGTGCACCACCGCCCTGCCGCTTTTGTTTCTGTTTTTGTTTTTAAATAAAGGCTAACAAATATTACGTATATTTCTTGAATAGTGGGATGGATTAGCATTTCAGATATTGAGTTCATTAATTATTTTCTGAAAATGGCTCATAGTGTTGCTGAAATAATAAGTGACTATGAGCATAGCAGTGTTTCTGGGACACTGGAACTGATAAGAAATTGTAGTCTGGAGGAATAGCTGTAGGTTTTCTTGAAGGTTGAGTGCCTACTGGAATCACACGGAATGTAGTGTTCTGCTGAACGTGCTCTCAGCTCGTTTTCTACTTTGAGTTCTCTAAGTACTTAAGCCTATTAAACGCTACTGTTCCATTTATTTGTTTTTGTCTGCTTTTTATACCTTCATTCAATAGTTAAAGGCCTGTTTGCACATTAACCTAATTAGTGTATTACAGGTACATGGCAAAAAGTGTCAGAGGTAAAGACAGATTTAGACTTTCTAGTTGGTTTTTTTTTTTTTTTTTTTTTTTTCTTTTTTTAGACAGGATCTATGTAGCCCAGGGTTTGAATTCCCGATCCTTCTCCGTTTCCCAAATACTGAGATTAAGGCATGAGATGCCACACTGGTTGATATAGAAAAGTTTCTTGGCGGTTTTATTTGGGAAACTAGAGTATAAAGCTAGAATTTGGAAAGAATAAAAAAAAAGCCAAAAGCAAGATACAAGAAACTATTCTATGCTAATAGTTTGGGCAGAAATATGGTTGCCATTCTATCCTCACCTCTCCCTTAACTTAATAATTTTATATGTAGGATTGTTTTGCTTGCATGTATGTGTGTCTACCCTGTGTGTGCCTGGTGCCTGGAGAGCAGATTAACATCTCCTGAACTTGAGTTGACAAGGTGTGAGCCATTTGAGTACTGGTACTGAGGTCTTTTGAAAGAGCAGACTGCTCTCCGCTACTGAGCCATCTCTCCAGTGCCTCCTCCCCCATTCCATCTATTAGGGTATGGAAGTGAGGATGTGTTGGGGATCAGAACCGGAAGAGTAGGGTAATGGCTGCTTGAGTAAAAACCTAAGCAGGGGCAGCAGGAAAGGGTGGAACTGCTGTTGAAGAAAACACTCTGTTGTGTTGCTGTACTTCTTTAACCTCAGTATCCAGGAGGCAAAGTTAAGTTGATCTTTCTGAGGTCTAAGCCACTCTGGTCTATATAGGGAGTTGCAGGTTATCTGGCATATACAGTGAGACCCTATCTAAAAATAAAGGAACAAAAAACCATTACACACATGAATCCTGGTTTTCCTTTTTAAATCCATTTACATTTGGGGGCTGAGGAGGTGGGCTGCTCTTCTAGAGGACCTGGGCTTGAATCTCAGTATGCACATGGTGGCCAATAATCATCTGTAATTTCAGTTTCAGAGTATCTGATGCGCTTTTGACTTTTGTGGGTACCAAGCTTGCACCACATGCATGCACATGCAGGCAAATATTTGTACACATAAATGAAAAAAGTATTAAATTTCATTAATAATTAAATTTTACATGACTCTCACAAGACCATCTACTCATTAGTTAATTTCTTTTTAACAGAATAGGATATGGCAAAGAGATCAGAGAGATATGCGGGCAATTCAGCCGGATGCAGGTTATTATAATGATGTAAGTATAAATTCTATCATGCTAGCTCACTGCAAACCTCCTTGTTTGGTCCTGTAAACATCAAAACATGTGAATTCAGGTTCAAGGTGTTATTTTTCTTACAGTTTTATAATTAACATTTCAAAAGGGTAATGTAGTATGTCTATATGTACCTTGATTGAATTTTGTCTCAAATATTCCTTTAAATTTAATGATGAATAAACTTTGGGTACAGAAAGCAATGTTCAAAGATTGAACAACCTCAAAGTCTTTTAATAGAAAATTTAATTTTAAGTTTGGGTTTTTGTAAACCTGCGTTGCTCTACTGTCTTTGAGAGGCAATCTAGGTAATCTCTTACTTAAACAGACACTGAAATTAAGTTCCAGGTAATACTAGTAGGTAATTAACTTTTTATCTTTTTCTCTTTTTGTTTCTAATAGCTGGTCCCACCTATAGGAATGTTGAATAATCCTATGAATGCAGTAACAACAAAATTTGTTAGGACATCAACAAACAAAGTAAAATGCCCAGTATTTGTTGTGAGGGTAAGTATTCTGATAGACATTTATTTGAAAAAAAATTAATCCTTAGTTTTACAAATGTATTTGATAAGGCTGGACAATGGGGCACAGGCCTTTAAACCCCAAAGCAGTAGGATCTCTGAGGTCAAGGCCTGTCTGGTCTACACAGTTCCAGGATAACTAGGATTACATAGGGAGACCCTGACTGGAAAAAAAAAAAAACAAAAAAAACCAAACCAAAACAAAGTATTTGACAAAACAAAAGTTAAACATTTTGTTAAATGTATACTAAGAGAATATATTGATCTCTAATAACAATTTTACTTTCAAATCTATTCTTTTATCCATTTTGTTCACTAATGGTGGGATACTGTGCTCTGATTTGTTTTTCATCATGTTACAATTTCCATTTTATTTTGGGACATTTAAGTTCATACTGCAGCAGGTTTCAGTATTGCCCTTGAGTAGAGATGCCTTTGTTGCTGTTGGAAAAGTAGCAGCCCACGGTAAATGAAGAGCTATCTGGGGTTGTTAGGAAATGACGTTAGGAAAGTTGAAAAATTATAATAAATCATACTCAAAAGCTCTACGATGGTGCCCAGTGGTTTCTTTGGAGTTTATAATCAGGAATATATTCACATTGTTTAATATCTTGAAGGGATTTTGTAGTAAAAAAAGATTTTCTTCAATATTGACCAGACATTCAGTTCATTTTCCCATAGATGATAGTGTAATCATTTTCTTTTTATTTCATTTTCTTTCTCATTCCAGTTTTTAAATTTTTAATTATTTTAAAAATTATTTTAAGCCTCTCAAGTGCTGGGATTAAAGGTGTGTGCCACCACTGTCCAACTTTCTCGTCTGTCTGTCTATCCATCCATCCATCTAGCTAGCTAGCTACCTATCATTTCTTTTGTTTTGTTTTTTTGAGACTTTTTTTCTGTGTAGCCTTGGCTGTCCTGGAACTCATTCTGTAGTCCAGGGTGGCCTTGAACTCAGAGATCCACCTGCTCCTGTGTCCCAAGTGCTGTGATTAAAGGTGTACACTACCTCTGCCAGGCAATCCTATTTATTTTTAAAGATTTATTTTTAATAAACTGATCATAGTGCCACATGCCTTTAATATAGATGATATCTCTGAGTTTGAGGCCAGTGTAGTCTACGTAGTGAATTGTAGGCCAGCCAGGGCAAGTTTCAGAAAGAAAGAAAAGAGAGAGAGAGAAGATTTATTTTTATTTTTGATTGTGTAAATTCATCATGTGCATGCAGTGTTTGTGGAGGGCACTGGATTCCCTACTCTGGAGTTACTGGCAGTTGTTAGCTACCATGTTAGTACTAGGAATCAGATCTAGGTCTATAGGAGCAGCAAGCATTCTTAACTGTATCTCCAACTATGCAATTTCATTTTAAATTGTGTGTATACATGTATCTGTCCATGTTAGTGCAAGTGCTTTCAGAGTCCAGAAGAGGGCATTCAGCCCTCTGGCACTGAGGATGTCAACATCTACCGTTGGCAACCAAATTCAGGTCTTTTAAAAGATCTATTGAGCCATCTCTCCAGATCTCTTGTTTTTTATTTTATTTTTAAACTTAATTATTGTCTTAGGGTTTTCATTGATATGTAGAGACACCCTGACCACTATAATAAAATTTAAGTGGGGGCTGGCTTCCATTTTCAGAGGTTTAGTCCTGTAACATCATGACAGATAGCATGGCAGCATACAGGCCACCATGATGCTGGAGACTTGAGCCTAGTCTTACACTGGACAGAGCTTGAGCATATATGAGACCTCAAAGTCCACTTCCACAGTGACATACTTCCTCCACCAAGGCCATACCTCCTAATAGTGCCATTCCCTATGAGTCAAGGATCCAACCACATGAATCTTTGGGGCCAGACCTATTCAGACCACAATTACTATTGCACACATACATGTGTAAGAGTCTCTCCCCTGTCATATATATATATATATATATATATGTAGGTCAGGATCACCTATGGAATTGCTTCTCTTTTACTTTTATGTGGGTTCTAGGAGGTGAGCTCTGGTTGTCAGGATTCTCTGGAGCTGGGATTAACAGGTGATTGTGAGTGATCTGATGTGAGTGTTGGGAACCAAACTCTGGTCCTCTGGAAGAGCTGCAAGCATTTTGAACTGCTGAACCATTCTCCAGCCCTTTAATATCCTTTATAATATAGAAAACCTTTTGAAATGAGGCCTAAGCATTCCGTATCTTTATTTTCTCCCATTATTATTAAGGATAGAACCTAAGACCTTGCATTTGCTCTGAATTACATCCTTAGCTCCCCAACCCCTTGAGAAACAACAGAACAACAATAAACTTCAGGTTGGTCTTGAACTAATTTTCTGTGGTGGCCCAGGCTGCCCTAACACTCTTGGTCCCCATTACCTTCTCTGTGTGGTAGATAAGTGTTCTCTGGATCTCAAGGTATGAGATCGTGGGGAAAATTTGTGTATATTAGAGACACAGTCTGTTGAAAGTTACGAAGACATGATGCCTGTAGGTTCTATGTTTACAGTTCAGTTGACTGCAGAATTGATGGGGCTGGGATCATAGCAGATAATCAAATCTCAGAATAATCAAAATGATGATGACTTACTGATAAAGCAATAAAGAACCAAATTGTCACATGTATTCATGTCATTTTCTAAATAAGCTTTATTTTTTGTGTTTTATTGTATTTTTGTGTACATCTGTTTTTGAGTTATCAGTTTTTGCCTAGGAAATAGAATTGTTACAATATTTTTGTGTATTTATATGCTTTATGGAAAATCAGTGAAACTGAACAAAAAGGAAAAATAAATTATACACACAGACATTTTGATTCACTCTATTTTTTAATTCTTTGTGATAGGCTCTTAACTATATTTAGCCTAGGCTGGCTTGGAACACACTATGTAGACCAGACTGGCCTCAAGTTCACAGAGATCTTTCTGCCTCTGCCTTCATAGTACTGGGGTTATAAGTGCTTGGAAAAAAATAAATTATAGTTATATTTTACCTTGACTAGCGAGTATGCCACGGATTCTCTTCATCATTCAAATCATAACATTAAAATAGTCTTGTATTGTTTGCTCTAATGTGTTATAGTTTTTCTTTTCTTTTTCCTTATATGTTCCTGTATTCAGATAGGCTTTTTGCAGTGAACCTGGACAGGCCTAATGTTCACTATATAGCCCAGGCTGGCCTTGAACTCTTAGCATCTGCCTATATCAGCCTTTTGAGCTTCAAGACAGGGTTCCTCTGTGTAGCCTTGGCTGTCCAGAACTTGCTTTGTAGACCAGGCTGACCTCAAACTCAGAGAACCACCTGGGTCTGCCTCCTGAGTGCTGGGATCACAGGCTTGTAGACCCACCACACCTGGCTGGGTTCCTAATGTAGATAGATCATCTTTCTTGGCAGTGTAGAATCTTCTGTCTTGCTTTTTACATAATACAGTCTGAAACTTAGCATTGAATTTAGAAGAGCATAACTCTTGTACTGTTCTATTGCTTAACTTTAACAACTGCATAACCTGTATTTTTGTGTATTTTTGCTTTGTTATATTTTTTGAGATAGGGTCACATTGTAACTCTGGCTGTCCTGTCCCCCTTCTCCGACACCCACACCCCTGCCTCCAGGCTTTTCTTTTGGTAACGTGTCATTATAGGCCAGGCTGTTCCAAATGACCTTGAATTTTTAAACCCACTTGAAATGGTAGTGCCACTAAGCCTAGTTTGTGTGGGGTCAAGCTCACGGGACGTGTATTTTCTAGGTTAACTTTCTAACATTACTAGCCCCTCTCATAACTTTTTCTTTGTTTATTTGTTTCCGAGACAGGGTTCTTCTGTGTAGCCTTAGCTGTCCTGGTATCCCTTTGTAGACCAGGCTGGCCTTCATACTCAGTTCTACCTGCCTCTGCCTCCCTGAGTGCTGGAATCACAGCCATGTACTACCTCGTCCAGCCCCTCTCATAACTTTTAAAGAATAATTGTAGGAGAAGTTTGATATTTTTAATGTTCTTAAAATAGTCATTGTTATGTTACTGTTTTGCTTGCAGAATGGCCATATTTTATTTTAGTTTTGAAACAAGTCTCACTATGTTGTCCTAGCTGGCCTGGAACTTGCTATGTAGACCATTGTTGGCCATGAACTCACAAAGATCTTCCTGCTTTTGCCATACAGTGCTTAGGATTAAAGGTGTGTGCTCCATGCCTAGCTGACAGGCTTGCTTGCTTCCTTCCTTCCTTCCTTCCTTCCTTCCTTCCTTCCTTCCTTCCTTCCTTCCTTCCTTCCTTCCTATCTATCTTTTTTGAGAGAGGGTTTTACTGTGTCCTGCTGTCCTGGAACTCACTCTGTAGAACAGTCTGACCTTGACCTTAAAGGTCAACCTGCCTTTGCCTCCCAGGTGTTAGGATTAAAAGCCTCTCATGTAGCTAAGGCTGATCTTGAACTTACACACTCTACTTCAGCCTTTTAAGTGTTGTGATTCTGGGCCTCTGGTACAGACATGACATTACTCTTTTTTGAGGCAAAGTCTTACATTGTAGCTGAGGCTGGCCCACGGTGAGCCCTTGTACGTCAGGCTGGCAAGTTCTTCAGTTATGTATTATATATACCGCCACACTGGTTATTTTCTATACATATTTGTCAAGTAACAGTTGAAAGATTCCTTATTTTTCAGTTCAGTCATTTGAACTTTAATAGTGACTGCCTGCCTTGTTTGTCAGTCTACTGTGTAGTCTATATAGAGGTGAAATCTTTCCATATCATGGTATAACTTGGTTTTAATGCATAGTGTATTCATATTCCATTTCTTCTCACGTAGCTGATTAGAGTGCTAGTGCTTCCCTCGGTATAAAACCCAGTTCTGTCTGCCTGATGTTAACTATTCAGTATTTTATAAAAATAGACTTTGAGAACTGGAGACACGCTCAACAATTAACAACACCTGCTGCTCTTCTACAGGACTTGAGTTTAGTTCCCGGCACCCATCTTGTGCAGCTCACAACTGCCTGTAACTCCAGCTTGAGAGGATATGATACTCACTCACTCACTCACTCACTCACTCACTCATAAAAACAAGAACAAGTAAACAAAAAGCCTTTGAAAATGTTTGTTAATGAGGTTGCGAGACTTGTGCTTGTGTGTGACCTGTGTTCTTTTTCCTGCTGCAGTGGACCCCAGAAGGAAGACGGTTGGTTACTGGAGCTTCTAGTGGAGAGTTCACCTTGTGGAATGGGCTGACGTTCAACTTTGAAACCATATTGCAGGTAACAGTAGCCCAGATGGCAGCTCCTCTTAGAACTTGACTACAGCTAACTCCTTTAGCACTGTAAAAATAAATAGTTGGGACAGTTTACTGCTCCAAGTTACTATAGGTTCCTATCAACCTCAGCCATACATTCTCTTAAAGAAAACTTAAAAATGTTTTCTGTTTTCACAGGCTCATGATAGCCCTGTGAGGGCCATGACTTGGTCACATAATGACATGTGGATGTTGACAGCAGATCATGGAGGATATGTGAAATATTGGCAATCCAACATGAACAACGTCAAGATGTTCCAGGCACATAAGGAGGCGATTAGAGAGGCCAGGTTTATACACAATATACCATTTTCTGTAGTCCCTATTGTCATGGCTAAATTACTCTCTAAGTGTATTCTGGGTGCAGAGATGCATGGGCTCTCTCAGATTCTGGGAAACTTTCTGCACCTTATAAACACAGTATTTCTCTTTGTTTTCACACATTCACCATTTTGCTGGCACCTTTCTGAAGTAGTTTTGTCCTGGTATCAGCCTTTGCAATATGTTAGAGATGTATTGTCTGCCACATTTTGCACTGGTTTTCTCTTGGTAAATAATGTGTATACGTTATTCCTTTTTATTATATACTGTGTAAGACAAGAATATTCCAAATAAAGAATTCAGTCTTTAATTATACAACTGAATAAAATCTAAAGCCTACAGAAGTCACCTTCAGAATCCACACAAAATTCAAGGAAAAAAAAAGGCTTAAGTGAAGACCTGGTTGGCTTGGTTCTGCCACGACTTCAAAAAGAAAGTATAGGACCAAAAACCTCACAGATAACTCTCTGGACGTGGCAAACATTAACGGATTAATGAATGGGTTCTTCATGCTTTGCAGCTGTAAGCAGACCTTTGTCAAAGAAGACTCTAGGACTTTTCTTCTGATTCACTGTTGATAATATGACTTACGCAAATGTATGAGTGGAGTTAAAACATTTTCAGTGAGTTGTATGTTTTTACATAACAGTGAGAAATGTATAGTAAACCTGGGAGAAGAAATTTCACAAACAAGCCTGAAGAATTGCTGCAGCCGCAGAATAAAGCTAAGCAGCATTCTTTTAAGGTTGTGCCATCTACATGTGGGAAGACATTGACATTAGAAACACCACTGGCAGTCACTTGTTTCTACTTTCAGAATCCACAGAACTTGTTGCATATATATGTTTCTGCTTTATAGACGTGGCCACAGTGTCGTGCTCATTTTTTTTTAATCTTAGTCTTTCAAAAGTTCAAGGGAGTTTGTACAGTTCATTGGGAATCTTGATGGTTTTTCACAGCCAGAAAGAAAACTGGCTCCCTCTTGTGTAGCAGTCATTGGCTTTAAATAGAAGTCTGAATGTGTATTTTAAAAATTTTCATCCAAAGGTGCAATGTTCATGGGATTGCTTTATCCCCAGAAGAAGGCACGAGGTTTTCACAAGCCTTTTAAATAAGTGAGAAACATTATATATATAAGGATGTTGAGCAGTCAAGTCTTCCTAGCCTGCTTAAAAGTGTTTCAGCCTTTCATTTTTGAAGTTTTAAGTATCTGAAGCAGAAACTGATGCTCATGTTTTGAGCAGTATTCCTATGGTGGCTTAAATGATTATATGCAGTAATATTGTTAAGAGTAGAATACATTTAGTTGCACTGTTAAGGCAGTTCCCCATGTTCTGTTGATATAGGAAATATATTAAAAGGAGCACAGGTAATGTTAGGACTAGTATTGCACTGAAAAGGTCTCTGAATATTGAGAGAAACTGGAAAAAAGAAATACTATTCTTTTGAAGTCTTTTGATGAGATGCGTATGCTAGCTGACTACATTCTCTTTAAAGGCCGCTTCACTGGATACTCCTTCTCCTGTTTATAATGCAGCACAGTGTCTTTATTTTTCCCTGTCTGAGAAGCACGGATGATCTGTTAAATGCTGACTTCTTTCCCCTGCTGTGTGTCTTCATGTAACAGTTTCTCACCCACGGATAATAAATTTGCTACATGCTCTGATGACGGCACTGTTAGAATCTGGGATTTTCTTCGTTGCCATGAGGAAAGAATTCTTCGAGGTATGTGTACTAACAGTACTGATTGAAATTTTTAAATAGGGAAGACATTTGTGATTAAATCATCACACTACACAATATTGGCTTCTATCTCCATTAAAGTATTTTTTCTACATTCACCATCTGTCAACAGAACACAGCTGTTCCAGCTTGCAATCATTTTATAGATTTTCACTAATACTATCTTTGAATTTTTTTCAGCTATAAAGTAAATACAATCTCTCCTTCCACATCACTTGTTTATCTTTGTGTCCTTTAGGGAAATACTGTTTCCTGACATTGACATTTCAAAATAATAGACAGTTCACATATTCATGACAGCCCTGTACAGGTAACAAATTAACTAACCAAATAGAGGTATTAATGGCTATACTTCTTGATATTTACTTATTTACCCCATTTTGAGGAAGGTTCATTGTGAGGATTAACCTGGCCTGGAACTTGCTGTGTAGCCTGTGCTAGCTTGAAACTTACAGTCCTTGTCTGAAACTTCCAATTTTGGGAGTGCAGTTGTGCTTCATTGCAACTGGCTTACTTGGTATTTGCAGATAATTTCACTTTGTATAGTGGGGCTGTCAACAGCCATTATGAATTCTGAGGATTTAGGAATTAGCTGTGTTTTATAACCTTAGTGCAAACATTACAATAAAACCATATGCACTTCTAAGTAATAAGGAATGTAGTATTTTCAGGTCTTTAGTTTAAATCTGTACTAGTTTACAAACTGTAAACTAGTAGTTTTTGCTCCGTATTCTTGATTCCAGAATGTCTCCAAAGTAACATCATATGAAAGGGAAGTTCAGGGTTTGAGAATGGACCAGAGACAACATATGATTCAAAGATGTCCCTTCATGTTCATGAGGCAGCAGTTAGTTGCCTTGGTGGAATTGTCAATTTCTCATCACTGTTCAGATATCTTTAACTTGCCAGATGTGATGGTATACAACGTTTAATCCTAGCAGAGGCAGGCAGATCTCTGTGAGTTGCTTGCTAGTCTGCTCTGCATAAAGAGTTCCAGTCCAGCCAGCACTATGTAGTGAAATTCTGTCTCAGTATAAGCAAACAAACAAAACTAAACTTAAAATTTTAAAAACACATTTCAAGCCAATATCATTGAATGTGTTTTCACATTGCCTTGGATTCATGTACAGTTTTGCGTCACCAGCTAGTGTAAGGATCTTGGTGCCTGTCAAATTGAGGGGCATATACACTGATAGCATGTAACTTCAGAGTAAGGCAGAGGCTTTGAAAGCTTAGCTGAGTTATTTCATGGATGAGTACCATGACCCAGAAGATTTATATGACACATTCAAAATAAAATAGGCCCAGTACCCTAACTGGAATCTCTTGACTTTTAGTCTGGTAGTACACTTATGTTGGATCTTTCCTCACTATTTTTAGAAATATTTGACATTAAACAGACATAGGTTAATGTTTTCTAGGCTTCGAAAAGTCCTTAGGATGAAAAAAAACATTTATGACAACCCAGAGAATTTAAAATTATTAAGTTCAAAATACCCTGAAATATGATAACGGAAGTCTCATATTAGACCTCTCAGCAGTTTATATTTTAAAAAAAAAAAATTTGTGTTAAAATTTTTTTTTGGCTTACATACCAAGAACTATTCATTTTTGATAGTGAAAACATCTCTATGCCTAGCAACCTCTCTGAAATTGTTATAATTATCATTGGATTATTTTAAATTTGAGTTAAGCTGAAAATTTTTATTATTAATATGAGTCCAGATAAATTTAGATAAAATAGATTCTGTTAAGTTAGAGTCAAGCATATTAATATCATCTATTAATTAAATGAATGTTTATTCTCTTTATGAGGACTGTCTATTTTAGGCTTTATATGGGTGTTTCAAACACACGAAAATATACTGGATTCCCATGTGCTTTTAGGATTTGTTCTTGCTTTCTTCCTTGTAAAAGCTTTAAGGTTTTCTTTATTTATTTTGAATGCTCTATGTGCATGCACATCCGCAGGCCAGAAGAGGGCACCAGATCACATCATAGATGGTTATGAGCCACCATGTGGTTGCTGGGAATTGAACTTAGGACCTTTGAATGAGCAGACAGAGCTCTTAACCACTGAGCCATCTCTCCAGCCCATAAAAGCTTTTTTTCCTGCTTTATGATCCTACTACCTCAGTGAGTTGTATATGAGGCAAATGTGAACATTTAATGAAACAACCTAAATAGTTTTGAGAGGAAGTCTCACATAATCTATAAGATTTTAGATTCTAGTAACCATTTTCTGTTATTCAGTTTTCTAAACTCTGTGAAACAGGGCATTTCTGACGGTTGGAGGTCAGAGTTTCAGTTACCTCCAGGAGAATGAGAAATTGTTTAACAGAAATTAGAAGGATCTGAAGTTAGCTCATCACAGAAAACATTGGATCCCAAAGTCAGATTGGGACAGGACGATCAGAAGATTAGTTCCCTCTTCTAAAATGTCAGCAGTCCTGTATTAAGGGCAGTAGTCATCTGACAGGCAAGCAGGCTTACTCCTTTCTCTTAATGTATGTGTCAGGCACTCACTTTGAGAGGTTAAGTATTTAGAAAATCAACAGAACACGAGTTGCGGGCTTTATCACATACTTAACCTTTTCTCTGTCCATAAAAGCAGACTTTTACCTCATGTTTCCTCTTTCTAATATCAGGTCTAATTTTTAGAACATTCTTTCCTTATGTTGGTAATCTGCTTCTCTTATTACTTGGTCTTCTGTTTGGGATATCAAAAAAAAACAACAAACAAACAAACAAACAAAAGAAAAACATGTACTACATGCCTAGAATCTCAACAGCTTGGCCTACATAGGACACGCTCTCAAAAGCAAACCAAAAACCTCTGTAATCTATTCTGTCTGACAGCCAATTAAATATTTAAAAATAACAATCATTCATGTCTTTTTTTCCCTCCAAGTTTTTCAGCTTTCATCACACAGTCTTCTGCAGAAGCCATAATACCATACTTTTCAGTACAAAATATAGTTGCTTTTTTTGTGTTATTTCTGAGATTGTTCTTAAATCTTCATCTAAAAGAAGTTATACAAGAGAAACACAGTTAATCTTTAAAATGGATATGAAGCAATTGTTGTGAGGTTTGCTGTATAAAAGCTTTGGTTGGCTGATTCATAAATTTATGAAATTGAATATAGCACAGAATTGGGAACATCTTAGGTCACTCATTATCGGAATTTATACATGCTTGTCCTTTTTCTCTAGTAAAAAATGCTTAAGGTTTTGCAGGCAAGATATTTTCATAAGCTAAATCATCAGAGAGCAGAGAATAAAGTTAGTATTTATCAGGAAATACTTCTGTTGACAGAAAAGAGGGAAGAAGATCTGCAACCTTGTCTCTAAAAACAAAACAAACTTCTTTCTGCCACGTTGAAAACATGCAGTTAGTAAGAGTGCTACAATAAAGTTTAATGAGAAACACTGAGCTGTCTTCTCAAAGAACCCTCTCCAGAAATGCGCTGTGCTTGCGTTTTTCTTTTACCTTCTTGATTTTACCGGTGATAGCTGGCACACTGATCAGGGGTATTATAAGCACTTTATTTAGCATCCTTGGCAATCTGGGGTAAGAACTGATTATTTCCCACTTTACACTACAAAGTTAAGTGAACCTGCCAAAGAGCATACATGTAGTATAAGAAGTAGGGCTAGGAACTGGAAGGCAGGCTCTTTGTCTTGAATTTGTTTTACTGCTACGTTTATCTTACTTACTTTAATCCAGGGCACATGCTAGGCAAGTACCCAACTGCCGAGTTATATCTCTAACATTTTAAAAGAAATGTCATCATAGATTGTCTACCTGGGCTATGGAGATAGAAATTTGAAGTAACGATTTGGTAGGGGGTTGTGAGCAGAAGGAACTCCAGTTTAATACATTTCCTAAAATGTCCATATAGGTTAATTTTTTTTTTTATGCACCACATATTGAACCAAAAAAACCTTAAATCATAACAAACTGTTGAAACAGCAAATGGGTTATAAGGTGTTTGCTAGGTTATATAAATAAAAGAGGTACCTACAACGGGTTCAAGAGGCAGTACCTTGGGTTGGGAATAAATCTGTTGGTATGTGTTCACTTACCATGCAGTGCATCCTGGGTTCATTTCCCAGTATTACATAAAACTGCATTAGGTATTATATACCTGTGATTTTAGCATTGGGGTGTTGGATTTAGGTGGGATCAGAAGTTCAAGGTCACCCTTTGCTATGTAGTATTTGAGAACAACCTGTGTAATGTGCAACTCTGTATCTAAAAGCAAATCAAAATCAGACCTGTTTTATCATGTTTCATTTTGCTTTGCTTTAAGAAGGGGTCTTATGTAGTCCGGGCTGGTCTTGAATTCATTCTGTAGCATACACTGGCCTAGAACTCATGGTGCTCCTCTTACGGCAAATGCTGGCTCTTTTTTAACTAGCACTTAGTGAGAGATTATGAACCTACATATTCACCCAGCATAAGAAAAACACAGCATTCATACTTTTGATAAGTTTCTACATGTACTTTCTGATTGCTTTCAACTTTGGTTTTTACTAAATAAGCTAAAGTCTCCACTACAAAGATTTGTTTAGTTTGATAATAGGTTTTTAAACTATGTTAAAGACATTTATAGTCTGAGTATTCAGAAAGAAAAATGTGATCCTCATTGTGAATAATTTACTTATTACCTGTTTATAACACTTTTTATATAGCATTCTGTAAAATTCTCTATCTGACAGAAAACACCCTGTTATCTTTATAATACAGTGTCTGTGTCAGTGTCTTGATTACTTTTCTATTGCTATGAGAAGACACTTTGATAAAGACAACTTGAGTTTTTGGAGGTTTAAGTTTCCGAGCCCATGACCATCACTGGGGTAAGCATGGCAGCAGCAGGCAGGCCTGGCACTGGAGTAGGAGCTGAGAGCTTACTTCTTGAGACACAAGCATTTGAGAAAGCAAATCGGAACAGTTTGAGTCTTCTGAACAGTCAGAGCCT